TCCTGGAAATATTCATGGGGTCTGGAACACCCTAAAACTAACCACTGCACCTTTAATAGCAGGAATACCATTAGAAGACCGGATCATTTTAAGGGAAGAACTGGAAAAAGTGCCCTTGATAAAACAAACTGAAATACCTTAATACTTGAGTTCCTCTAGAACTTGGCTATACACCCACAGTTTCAAAAATAAAAAGAAAATAGAACACAAAGTTAATGGCCATTATAATGAAAACCAACTCACTCTCTCTCTTTCACAAGGGAAATGGAAATGTTGCTCAAAGTTTGTTTGCTGAAGGTTGTCTGGAAGCTTAATAGATCAGGTGTATTTTTTAAATGGTTAGGATTAAATAAAAAAAATAACTGTGTAAGATAAGTTACATACACTAAGAAAAATATGAAAAGCCATCTCAATAAAATGAAATTCTAGACAAAATGGCTAGAACACGGTAGAAAACTAAAAGGAATGTTACTCATGAGGAGGGAATCCCTGCCTCTTTCCCACAGTCAAGTTTACCACCTGGCACTACAGCTAGCCAGGAGACTGAAGAGCCTGCCAGGAAACCAGCCACAATCCCATGTGCTGCTGCTGGAAAAAACAAATTCCACTGCTTATCATCTGGGCCCTGCAGCTGCCAAGCACACTCTGCACGGGGTGAAACATCTTTGCACTGATGCTAATGAGCGCAACCAGGAAGAAGAACTGGAGTACATTCAACAGCAGTGCCAGCCCAGCAAGGAATTAAAACTGGTCTTCAAACAACAGAGTATCATAGCTCTTCAGTAAATGTGGTCTTCTTCAGAGAAAGAAAAAATGATGTAATATTTAAAGGTAAGCCTGAAAACATGTTGTTCTTTACAGCCAATTAAGGATTGGGATCAGCTTAGATCAGAAGTTAAGGATTCTGATAAGCTAACCACAGAAAATAACGTATCATTTTCATAATGGAAGAAATAAACTTCCCCACCCCCAAAAACCACCTGGATATCTTAAAACGTTATAAGTTCTCTAAGGTATTACCTACTGAAAAAGAAACTATTTTGTCTTTGCTCAGCTGCTAAGATTTAGGGTTCCAGGTTAGCAGAGTTCTCTTTTCCAAGTCTCTTCTGCAGACTTAGGAACTCTGTTTGCAGTATGTAATTGCACATTGCTTGGGAGAGATATAGATGATTTCTTTAATTGATTACCTGAACTCTCCTGTTGTGCGAAATTATTTTTGTGAGCACAGACAGCCTTGCAGGCTCAGACACTGCATTTCCTACAATACTGTGATGCACCTGCTTTACAGAAGACTTGGGATTTCACTTACTGATCATCAAGGAAAGTACAAACTGAAACGTTTCAAAAAAGCTGCAGTCCTCTCTCAGCATATCATAAACGTACAAAATTCATTGGTGATTTCTCTACACTTCTGAGAAGAAAGGTGCAGATTCATAGAAAGATATCAATGAGTCAGCAGGGTTGGATGCACAAAGAAATGGAAAGTAGATAATCAATGCCAGCTCCTCCTTAGTACTTTGGACACCAGGTTTATCATAAAGGGCTCACTTGGCAGAACACAAAATCTAGGTAACAGACATCTTCAGGACGTTTCTTTAACGTAGAGAAAAAAAAAGACTTATGTAACTGAGCAATGGCAAATATTACTAGAAGTATCATTTTCCAGAAGAACTCTAAAAGAAGGTCCTTATTTGCCTGTGAGTACACATAGCATGCACAGCAAGGTCACAGTCTTGTGATGATTTTTGACATCATCTACCACAACAAAGCTCTCTTTCTTCCTGGCACTACTATAACGACGACCAGTGGGCACTCCAACAGGAGCGTTTAAAATAAGTTTGCTTAAAACAATACTTTAGCAGTCACCTAAAACAGCATTAAGCACAATAAACTACATGTAACAATTTATATGTCTACTATTACGTTTATACTGCTGATTTACTTAGCATGCATTTTGTTTTTTTTTCTTCTTTTAATCTACAAATACCTCTGCCAAGGCTACTACTATATGAGAGAAGGGAAAATGTCAATATACTGTCTAACATAATTGTGTATTCGTGCATAATTTCATAACGTGATTTCAAAAGCCACCTACTCCTGGAGACCTGTGCACACATTCTGCCTATTTTGGAAATCAAACATATGGAATCTGATTTATAAGCAGACTGCCAACACAAGCGAAGAACAAAACTTTCTGACCCACAACTATTGCCATTGACCATTTTATACCATAACTGTCTCTGATGTCCTGGAATTCAATGGATTCATTTCATTTACCAGAAGGACTATGAAAGCTCAAAGAGCACATACCTCCAGTGAAGGCATCTGCTCTGTATGTAATACAGAAGAGCATGCCATGTTCTAAACAGGCTATTTTTAATTAATTTTAAATATACAACCATCTTTTCTGAGGTTTTGCCATTTCTAAAAACACGGGGGGCTTCTCAAAATTATGTAGAGGAATGAGTAGCTCAAATCATACTAAGGTCAACAACAAGTATTAAATTGCCAAAAATACTTTGGAAATCTTAGTACAGAGAAACATTACACAGACAAAAAAAGGAACGTGTAGAGTAGATGATGTATTACTCAGGTTATCCTAACCTAGCTAGCACAGAGCAATAGTATGGGACAATAGCACTGTTAGTAGTGGGTGAACAGCCGAAAGTTTGCTTTGAATATGTGTATTAGTTGTTTATTTATATTATTTATTATTTTAAACTTGCATCATTGATGAAGAATCACAAAATTCTGCATTTAATTAAGCAATGGCTGTATTAAAGAAACCCAACAGTATTTGTATTGACATAATAAATTAATGCTTTATTAAATAAAAAAATATGGATTCATTATGAATTAGCACTGACAACATTATTTTGTCTGGATGGAAAAATCAAGTGCCATTGAAAAAGGATAAATGATTTTTTCCCCCAACCAAATCAGTATTTTGAATAAATCTTTGTGGTTAGGGATGTACATTATCTGTTGTGTGTGTATGGATGTGTAAATTGAAGTGACAGTTCTCACCCTCCTCTATCATCCATCAACTTGGAACTTTCTTGGTGCTGAAGTATTTAAGTCTAAATACCACATAGTCCGAATACTGCATAGTCTGAATATGAGTAAGTCCGATGTGAACACACAACGTGCATAGCTAGTAGCTAGCAAGATACCTGGCTTTAAGGCTTTCTGACCAAGCCTTCTGACTAGGACTTAAACAACTTGGTAACCCTTTTCAGCAAAGTGTTTTCCAGTAACTATTTTGGACCTATCATCTAGAAAACATCAACAGTAGCCACGTAATAGTCTACACCAACTGTCAATATAATTTCATAATGACACTCAGGAATTATATAGCATGACCAGTAGCAGCAATTACATACAGTATTCTGAGGAATTAACTTCTATAATCAAACACAATGAAATATTCTGCAGGGCTCAAGATGATTTGAGGAAGTCACGTTCCTCTCTTTTACTGATAAGTTAAAAAACTCCCAAAACTGCAGCTCTACCTGTTGTTGGCACAATCCACTTTGGCAGTCCAGGTGCTTTTGTTCTAGCTGGTGCTAGTGTGGTTTTACTAAGAGCTGTGAGAGAGTTTACAAAGAAAAAAGAGAAAGAAGAAAAAAGAAAAAAAGTTCCATGAGAAGAAAATCCAACAGACTTTTATGTGATGCCAACAGTTCCACATTAGAGAAGAAAAAGTAACACTTGCTGTGATGATACACACAGTTTTGGTTCCTTTTTTCCTGATTTGGAAAGGCTTTACCTCTAGACTGATTAATTGAAACAAAAATACCCTTTTTTCCCAGCAACGCTTAAAATTCCACTGAGAATAGGTGAAATTAATTATTTAATTAATCTCCTCCCCACCCCAAATTGAATCAACAATTATTACCAGGTCTGGTCTGTGATTTATCAGATGGCTTTGGTCTTGCAGAAGTGAGACGTGTTTTATGAGGTGCTAAAAGAAATAAGGTTCAGTTTAAATGTTACGTGTAAAAGGAACAGCAATAGTGCAGTGTAATTTGCCAGAAAAAAGGTCCATGCACCAATGCGATACAGCAAAACGGACATATGAGAATTCTATGAGTTCCAATCCAAAATGCACGCTGAAAATGCTAGTTTCTTTAGTGGTCAGATGACTCCATCATGCAGTCTGACCAGTTACATTCATGTTTAGGTTTAGGAAAAGATATAAAATATTTACAGCCAGTTACCCAACTGTATATGGATACAGAGTTAGCTCTGCAAGGTATCCATGGCCTTAAGACATTTAATTAGGTTCTGTAAAAAACAAACAAACACAAAACCTCAAAATAAAACACCAAACTGAACCCCCCCCAAATCAAATATTCAGACAAAAACATGAAACATTAAAATATTGCCGAGAAAACAACTGGAAGCATTCAATGCAGACACTGTGTAGGGTGCTGAAGCATAGTGTCATCATCAAGGTTAAAATCAGAAGCCTTCAATCTTTTCTTATTGTTGCCTTTCACTTGCCAAATAATTTTGATATTTTAGTTGTTACAGAATCTGGATGAATCACACTGAAAGCTGAAAGCATAAGCAGTAGTCACTGTCATCCCATGCCAAACTACCAACTTCTGTAAATCAAATTTTTAAATAAATAGAGCTAGCTATTTGATACTTGAATCTAATAACCATTCTATCCACGACACTTAATCCAGCCTCTCTGAAGTGTCAGAGAAAATACTTAGGCAGGAAAGAACATATTATTCATTTTTTGACATTTACATTTGGGGAAAGTTTAAACAGATTTCTATTTAGTATTTTATACGGAAACATGTGGATGTCACTTACATTTATGTTTGCAACACTGTATATATGAGAATCCAATACACAGCACTAATACTGTTTAAAAGCTTCATATCATCTTTGAGGTAATACTGATTAAACCTTGATTTTCAGAACAATGAACAAAACCCATTTGATAAGGGGAAAAATAAATTTTCATGTTATATAACTGAAATAGTTTTAAAGGTAATAATGAACAGACCATTAAACCTTAAACCATACTGACTTTACTTAAGATCTACAGACTCTCAATACAACAACTCAAGAAAATCCTAAAAATTACCTGTATGGAACCGTGGAATTTCAGTTGCTAGAGCAGTTTTGGGCTTGGGTGAAATCTGGTACGTTTCATTGGGAACTGAAAGTGGAGATATTACTGCTTATCAAATGCAAATGATTTTCTTTTAAAAATAAAACACCACAAGTAGAAGGGAAATTCAAACTGTCTTTGTGTAGACCATAAACAAAAAGAGTCAGTGCTAGAAACCTGGCTGAATATCATGCTTTTATACAGATAAAAGACTTTTCAAGACTGGGAAGATATATTTCATTAGTAAGTCAGACAAAAGAAGAAAAGATGATCAGGTAATGTCTTTTTATATGACAACTTAGCCTTGTACATGAAGTATTTCTAGAAAGAATTGCATGAAAGAAAAATGGCTGAAAAATTAAAACCAGCAACATTTTGTACATGCACTAGAATGTGACTAACAAATGAACACGACATAAAGACATATTAAGGTATTTCTGTTGATTAAAGTGTAAGTTTAGCCATATAGCAAAGGCAAAGAAAGTAAAGTTTTATGAAAAATAAACTGACATAATATTCTCATTACCCAAAGTCATTTTGGACCCATCAACAACATGAACTGTTATAAGGTTAATTGATCCCAGGTGTGTTGCCCTTGGAGCTACAAGAAATAAAACATGGTTCTGTGAGAAGTGAAATTAAAGAAGTTGGATTTCATTAAGGATCTGTGTCCTTTGTTTCCTAAAAACCTAGCTACACATCTGCTAAGACCATTTTAACAGACATGAGACAGACGTGTTCTGATGGGTCTGGATGTATTTTCATGCTGACAGCCAGACAGTGCAACTATTCTGCCAGGCCCCCACCAACTTCAGAACAAATGCCCTAAAGGTGGAGTTCTGACAGTCTTTGGTCTTTCTCACACTGGCTATATTAATTTGCACTTCCCTAAATATTTCTCAAAGCTTGTAGTAATGTATTTATCTTTCAGACATTCTTCCCTCACTCAAATTTGACTGAATTTAGTGAAAGATATCTTGGTTACTGGATGAAAAGGAGAGACTGACAGGCAGAGGCACACACTACATGCCTCTCTGTCTTCCAGAAATAAGGTTAAAATATGGAAGCTGGAAAGTAACCTACTTACTAGCATAAAGGGCAGTGGCTAAATAGTGCCATTTGTTTTTAACAACTTTGCTAACATTAGTTTATTTTGCAAATACATCATTATAACAATTTAAAATTTAAAAAGAAAAGAATAAGCCTATAAATTCTGTTTTCTAAAATTCTTTGCCTAAAACTAACTTTGTAGTGGTACCAAAACATGGCATTTTTTAACTATGACATGATTGGAAATAGCTCTTATTCAACTAAGACTTAGATTCTAACTTGGTTACTTAACAGAAAGCCTTTCAAAATAAGGCCGTTAGAAAATAAATCTTTTTCCTGGACTGTTCTATTTGATTTTCATAGTAATATGTATGTACAGTTCTTGAATGAGTAGGGTCTCTGCTTAAATTCTTTTTGGCTATATAAAGAGGGCTAGAAGTCTAAGGGGGAAAAAAGGGGAGAATGATAAAACTATTCATTAACCTATTTACCTAAAACTAAAATATTACCAATTTGGAGGTTAGATCAGAGAGTAAAGAAGATTAGGAGCTGATCTTTCTTATGATCATGTTGTCACTCCTCCCCTAACAATTTTTTTTTCTCCTGTAACCTTCCTACCTAGTCATTTTACACCCAGGGTAAAGCTGAGGTATCATCATTCTTCATTGTAACTATGCATCCCTAAATCTACTGCAGTTACTGCAAAAATAACTGATAGGAAGAAGATACCTATACTCTTAGCATCTAACTATCTTGGACTGAGATTCTGTAACCTGAGTTTCAAAAGTTCCCAAAGAAAAGAACTTAGTGATGCTGGCTACAGCACTGAATTTTTATTAAAATTAATAGAATTCCTCACATTTTTAATGGCTACTACCCACAAATTCAACAAACAAATGTTAAAAACCCAACCATCTTAACTTCTGCTCTCTGTGGAAATTGATGCAATTCTTTGGTATTCTCTTTGATATAATTTATTAATATACTCTGAGCTGAACAGTGATACTCATTTCTGTCTACAGAAATTGCAGATCGTGCATGTCATATCACTGCAGTAATGAATGACAGCAGAAAGTGTAACTAAGGCAGTGCCACAATAACACTTTTAAAGTTATGAACTTTAAATTACCAGGTTTAGTCTGTGGTACTTCTGGCCCAACAGATGTTTTGGGTTTGGAAGGAATGAGCAGTGTTTCTTTTGGAGCTGAAAGAAAAGGAAAAAGATTATTATTGTATTCTTCAGGAGTCATGATCCAATGGCATATTTAGCCCACAGAAAATGCATGCCTCAAATGCCTGAAAAAAAGACAATAACAATTCCATGGCTTTCTGGAACCTGAAAAAAAATGACTATCCAAAACACAGAAAAGTTCTAGCGCTGTGCTGTAGGATAAGTTGAGTTAGTGGCTAAAATTCTTGCTCTAAAAGAAAAATTAGACCACTGAATTTAGTTGGAGATCTGACAAATACAGGCTTCTGACCAGACATGAGCTGTAGGCTATTTCTGCTTTACTTCTAGGACAGAACTGAGACTCATCTTTATTAAGAAACAGGCCTGTGTGTAAGCAGAATGCAGGATAGCGGAATGATGTTGCGCAAAATACCACACCAGAGCACGTTCTCTAGAAATTTCTCCATTGAAAAATTAAAAATACTTGCATCTTAACTTTAAGGAAACTTATTTACCCATTGTTGCTCTTGAATGCTCAGTGGTAGTAGAAGATTTTGTAATAATTGGTTGTGGAGTTGTCTGATGTATTGCTGTTAAGAAGAAAATGTGAAGAATCTTAGAATATTAAACTGTAATAGAAACAAAGTAGCATTTGCCCTATTCCTAAAACTTTCAAAATGACCCAGACTAAAGAGTAGCAGAGTATCTTAAAAACCAACTGCTGACAGATATCATTATCTTTCTATTAACTTCTCCTATACATTCCTTCCGTAACAAAAATAGGAAGAGACACAGCCCCTGTAACTATTTTTAAGACTGCTTTTGTTTCAGTGTAGTGCACAACGTCAGTTGCTAACTGTGCAAGCACATTGCAAAGGAGTTCTGTTGCATTTTATGGATAAAAAACCGAGTGCTCACAGAGAAGCATCTCTGATTACCAAGAAGCAATCAGAGAGAACTCAGTCTACCTAGCCACTGAAATTTGTCAACACCCACGTTTTTACATTTTAGTCATCATTTGCTATATGTAACAGAAAGGTGGAAAAACATTTTTGATGCTATACTACAAATCGTACTACTATTTTCAGTGTAGTTTTGGCATATTTTGGATTGACTAACTTAAGTGGAATGCATTTGTTTCAGCACAAACCCAGCTACGAATAATCCTGTTAAAAAGCACAAAACCTGAGGCTAAGGGAAAGAATGATTAAACACAAATACACACAATTAAAAGAATGACTCCATTACCAGGTTTGGTGTGTGGCACTCTTGGTTTTTCAGATGTTTTTGGTTTGGTATGAATGAATTGTTTTTCAGTTGGAGCTGAAATAAAAACAAACAGCACCCGGAACAATAATTGAAAAAACCACACTACTTTCATAGTACACAAGGAACATACGTATGATCTGATCTGTAATAAAGCAAATTATGTAAGGTTAAAGCTGAAAAATCAATCAGTTGGAATTCCTGCAAAGAAAGGAAAAGAAATTAAATGGCCGCTGACACAAACAGACTTCCCCAAAATTATATACAAATTTGTAGCTTTGGATGAAGCAGTGAAGAATACAGTCATGAACAGCATACAGTAAAGTAACAGGACAAAAACAGACAGTAGTAGCCTACATCTTCCACATCTGCCACATATGAGTATCTGAGGACAGGATCTATTCTTCAGTGGACCCTTCGTATCAGACCTGATTTATAAGTTAACTTCTTTGTTCTTATGTGGGAACTAATCAATCTTGTTATCTTCATATTATTCAGTCAAACATTCTTGCCATGTAGGAATCATTTACTGGAAAAAGGTTATCTTAGCACTTGCTAGTCTGTGATCCACACCAGTGTGAGAAGTCCTCAAAATCCACACCAATGTGAAAAGTCCTCTATCCCAGCTGAAACCAGGACAATCTGCCTTAGCTTGTGCATTCTTCATTCCCCTTGCTCTGAAGAACAATTTTCTGCATAAGAATATTGCATCAGGTAGCCCCAGATATGTATGACAGGGCACACAAACTTCATAAAACTATATAAAGAGATATCAAATGAATACTAACCTACATACAGGGAATATATATTAAAATAGAAACATGATGAAAAGCATTTTTCATTCCCTATTCCTCAAAAAGAAAAAAACATGGTTTGAAGATTATTAAATGGCCATTAATACTTCATTAATGACACCATTTCATTCTCAGAAAACCATGGTCAGTGTTTGTCTCTGAAACTGGGGACAGAGAACTGATTATTAACAAAGATTGCTCAAGCAATACTCCTGCTGCCCAGTGCTGCTTGGATTCATTGACCCTTATTTGGGCCACATTGGCCCAAATGTCATCTGACATTTAAGTTAAGAAGAAAGAATTCTCAGCTAACGTTTCATATATTTAAACAAGTTTTCCCAACATTGACAACTAGAAGTTAGCAGAGAAGATGGCTTTAAGAACGAGTATTTCATCTGGAGGGTCACATAGCTTGTCTGTTTTGGTATATGTTATGCTATAGTTGATACGTTATCATTTTCTTGCAATTTTCTTCTGTAAAAATATGCCATGAGGAGTGAAGCAGAATATGACAGTATCCATACCTCAGATGCAGAAATCACAGGAATCACCACCTGCTCTTTAAATAAAGTCCATTTTTACTGGAAAACATATGACATCTGAAGGAATTACGTCATCCTAACTGAAAAGGCTAGAAGATGAGGAAAAGAACCTTCAAAAGTAAGTGAGTTCATGCATTAGTACCCTTATCAAGACGAAAGGGCAAGCAAGTATCTAGAAGCAGAGCAAAGCTTCATTATTAGTTTATACTATCATGTAATAAGCTCTCTCTAAGAATATCTTCTCTAACAAGAATGGAAAATAGAGTAATTATTTATGAAATACACAATTACCCAATGTTGCCTTTGTTCTTTCAGGAATATGAGGAATCATAGTAGTATCTGGTTCATGGAAGGTTGGAATAATTTCTGTTGGAAAAAATGTTAATAAATGCTCAGAATAATGAAGAGATTCTCCCTTTCCCTCCCGCTCCCTTAAAAAAAACACTTCAGCACTACACTATATACACCAGGAAAGGGATGTTTTAAAACAGCAATGAGCATTTACCCTCAGAGATTTATGGTTACAAAGAGGTCAATTTTTTGTTTGTTTTTAACATCTAGATACTTAAACAACAATAACAACCCTTCAGTGAAACCACTGATTCTATTATACAGGTCAGTCAGATTTATGCTGAGGAGTCTCCTAATCGAAATACAACTGAAGGCAATCCTCAGTCTGATCTGGATGAAAATGTGTATATAAAGGAAAAGCACTGCAACAGCTTTAGGAGGCTTCTCTCGTAAGAGCTTCAAAAACATGGTGCAAACAACTGAAGTGTGTTGCTCAGATACAAGCTGTGAATAACTTCTTATCGTTGATTTAAACATACAGGTCACTATTATTTCTTCTTCTGGAAATATCTGCCTAATATAAAAAAAAAAAATCTGGAACTGTTGTAGTTTCCATCAGTGGTATGACTTATCTGCAGCATTGCAGAGGTTTCTTAAGCTAGAATGATACCCAGGTAACAGCAATCGTACTGTTGACAACTCTCCCCACTGCCCACCCTGAAAGCAGTTGCTCAATTATCAATCGCAGCTTGACAAAAGACCAGATAATTTACCAGGCTTGCTGTGTGGAACATCTGGGATGGGAACTGCTTTAGGTTTAAAGGGAGTATGTTGTGGTTCTTTAGGAGCTGAAAGAAAAGACCTATTTTAAGGGTTTATACTCTTCAGAAATTAGACAGGTTTATTGCACAGGCACTGTATGCCTCGTGCTTTCAAAGAAAAACAAGATCCTTACAATGAAAGACTGAAAAATTGAGTGTCAGATGGGAATTTAAAGAGAAAATCATGAATGAAAACATGGGTGGAAAATTGATCAAGTAAGCAAAATCTGGAGTCAAGTAACAAAAACTGAAAGAACACAGACAACTATAGTGGACATGTTTCCACCTGTATTTCAGAGCTCATAACTGCAATACTCATGGCATGCTTGTCTCCTACAAGTGTCAAAGGAATTACAATGCGTGTGAGAGTGAAAGAAATATTCTGTGAAGACAACAGATCAGCTAGGCATGTTTCAATACCTGGAACAGAGTAGAATTAAGTTCAATAAGTAGAAAAGAAAACAAATCAAAACCACAAACAGATGACATGTGAAAAACAGACTAATAATGTATAATCTTTGGTCCAAGAAGCAGCAGGGAAAAAATAATAACGACCAACCCAAGGTAACATCTTTACCTGTTGCTGTCTTTGGTTGTTCAACTGTAAATGTAATAGGTGCTAAAACTTCATAAAAACAAGAACGTACACAGAAAAGGGAAAAAATACTCCCTTTTACATGACTGATTTCTTTTCAAATTAGAACACAAATTTGTTCTTTTCTTTTTTAAAATTATATATTGGTGGAATTAGTGAATATACACCCACTCAAAAGGAAGGTGCAACTGATGTTTTCAGAACCGTCAGGAGTTACAGAGGTTTGGCAGTTCACTAGTATGTAAATCCCTATTAAATATATTTTTAAGAGTCAAATTCCATTACCAGGGCACACAAACATATGAGTGGTTTGAGTTACAGATATTTAGAGTCATACATGAAGGCCCTCAAATATGTTTTTCTCTAAGCATCTTTTGACAGTCACAGAAGAGATGCAATTTCTTCCAAGAACATTCTTATAATGTTTGTATGTTGTCTACCCTGCTATGCAGATTATTCATCAGTGACAGCTGTCATGTGGCTGAAAAGCATGTACAACTCATCAAAACTCAGCCATTAAAAATACAAAACAGCTCTACCTTCCTTTAAACATGTATTTAATGATCATTAGAAAATCTACTTGTTTGTAATACGAAGAGATGTTAATCAACACTTGACTCACTGAGGAAAGACAACCCAAAAGAAACCCCGAATATTCAAGCACAACAAAACAACAATGTACTTACCTGGTTTTGTGTGTGGTACATCTGGACTTGGTGATGCTCTGGGCTTGGAAGAGACTCGCCGACTTTCTTTTGGACCTGTGAAGATGAGTAAAGTTTTGAACATGTTATTAAGGAGGATGATTCAACATAAGTCTTTTGATTTTCCTGACAGGAGATTCATTTTCTGCAAAGAAATTTTTTAGGAAGTATTTCTTCCATTTGAAAATAATCACAAAGAGATCTCCTGTCAATGCAATCAATATTATGTTAGTGCAGAGACTAAAGACAAAGTGACTGTTACAGTGCAGTGTTGGATTAACTCTCTACTCCTCTCAGCTATATCAAACAGAGCTTTCTATGCTGTAGTTCTAACAGTTCCCCTAGTTGTGCTTCTCAAGTGTTTTATATTCCAAAAATCTGCTTCTCATTTAAATCAACTTTGCATTAAAAAAAAAAATCGCCAGCAAAGCAATCAAAGCAGAAGAAACATGGAAATTTACCACTAATTTTCAAAGAGACAGAACTATTTCCAAAGTTTTGGGAACAGGAAAGTACTGTAATTTTACACTTGTAAATGAGTGACTAGAAAATACAAATACCTCTTGTCACATTGTATGGAAATAAGGCACAAATTTTCTTGTGTGCAAGGGCTCAAGATGACTGTTAAGCCCCACATCCCTACCATTATATAAGTTACTGACACATATAAGTATCTAGCTGATTATTGTGTTCCATGACGGTTAATATAGCAAAATTTGATTATGACAGTAAAACACAGCCTATTCAATAAGTACCTGTGTACCTTCAGAGAACTCATCAATTTTGACAATTTTCAAACTGATAAAACTTTCATGCACTAAAGGGCAAACTATCGATAAGCTTACTTGCTCTAGTTGGAGGAACCCGTGGACTGGGTGATGTTTTAGGTTTGGAAGGCCCATGATGTGTATCTTTAGGAGCTGCAAGAAAGAAACTGGGTTACACCGTACTAAAATTTTCCAAGGTATCAGTGTCCACTACCACCCATAACAGTTAACAAAAACAGAGCAAATATTTGAACCAAAGATATTCTATGGAAGTGATGCAAAAGAGAAGGTTTTTTTTTGGAACAAAATCAGGCTATAGAGAAAAGAAATAATCTTCTGTGACATATCACCAACTAAGCATCTGACAGAACTACTGGTTCTGTTTATGAAGAGGACTTAAAAAAATAAAAAGAAGAAAACAAAATAAGTACCTTCAAATACAAAAACACCACTGCTCTGTAATGGAAATTGTACTGGAATGATTCGCAGTACCAGATTCAAATGATAAAAATTCCTTAATCAAATGCATCTGCCTCAAGGAATCGTATGACCCAAAGATCACTGAAGTGATTTTGTTCTGACAGTGGAATTGAGGTTTGAGTGAAATAGAATTATTTTTCAGACCTTTATGAAGAACAGAATTTCATTTAGTAAAACTGGAGGGGAAGGGAAGCAGAGAAAGAGAACTTGCTGCATGCAGGACTGCTCACCCAAACCATATGACTAACAAGAACAGTGCCACCTCTACAGTATGACTCAGATCATGTAAGTTAGGATCCTGTTCTGATCTGCCCTTTGCCTCTTCTCATTAAATATTGAAGGAAATTGCCCTATGCTATGTGCATAACAACTTGAAAGGCACAAGGATCCTCCTCAATTGTTTTGTAGAAATAGAGACAGAGAATCTTGACTGGTAAATTATTAAGGCACATACAAAGAAAGGTGACAAATTTTTGCAGGTCTAACTCTTAATGATTTATGTTGAAGAGGAAAGACAATGTGACTACTCAAGTAAGAAAGTATCATTACCTACTGTTGACTTTGGTTTCTCAGTTCTAAACGTAACTGGTTCCAGAACTGCATTAGCATGATAAAAAACAAAACCAAGTATTACCAAGAACAATCAAAACATTACAGTCACTACCGCCACAATGATCATACCATCCCTATTACAGCCAATGACAGATGGTCACTCCTCCTTGAAACTCAATATGTCAGAGTATTATGCCGCTCAGAATTGTCTCCAGTTCAAGACAATAGCGCTAATACAGAACAGAGCCCAAATATACATCTGAAGCTTTTGTAACAAGCAACAAAGAAATTGTGGGTGGTTATTTACCTTCAACTTTGTACACTTTCCTGACTTATTTCAAGGTTTTGAGTCAAACAATAGACACAGACTTACTGGGGGAAAAAGGAACCTTAGTTGTCATCTTTCTGCCCATTTCACCAGCAGCGCCATCTAATACTGCACATACTTTGGATACCTGTGCTGGCTCTGGCTGGGATGGAGTTTATTTTCTTCATAGCAGCCCCTGTGGTACTCTGTTTTAGATTCATGACCAAGACAGTGTTGATAACACACCAGTTTTTTAGCTATTGCTGAACAGTGCTTGTTAGAGCATCAAGGGCTTCTTTGTTTTTCACTCTGCCCCCAAGCAATTAGGCTGGGGGTGGGCAAGATGCTAGGAGGGGACACAGCCGGGACAGCTGAACCAAACTGACCAAAGGGATATTCCACCTCATCTAATGGCATGCTTAGCAACAAAAGTGAGGGGTAGCCTTTCCAAAGGACCCATCGCTCCTAGACTGGCGTTGGCCTGCTGGAGGGATGTGGTGAGTGGTTGCCTTTCTATCACTTCGTTTTCTCCCCTCTTTTTATCCTTCACTTGTTAAACTGTCTTTATCTTGAACTATGATTTTTTTTTCTCTCTTTTGCTCTTCTGATTCTCTCCCCCAACCCACTGTGGGGTGGAATGAGCAAGTGGCTAGTGCGTGCTTAGTTGCTGGCTGGGATCAATCCACCACAGTACCTCATGCAATTGCTAGTGTCAGTTGGATAACTTTCTTCCTCCATCCTTAATTAGCCCAGGGTTGTATATTGCTCTATACCAAGCTGTGTAAACAACATTATAGAAAGTATTACACATTCTTACACCTCTGAACAACATAAGGGCTGTGCAAAAGTGAACTGAAAAGTATAAATGAATGATTGTGCCTGGGAAACAAAAAACAAGTACACAATTTGAGAAATACAGGAGAAACTCCTTCCTCTTTGCAATGACACCCCTGCTTTTCACCTTCACTTTCCAAAAACCCATGCAAATTCACACAGAAAAGATCTATTTTCACTGACAACTGCACAGAAAATACCCGTTGTTGCAGTGACTTAAAAATGTAAAAAAGAACTGAAGATAGAGACTTTAAACTTACCAGGTTGTTTATAAATTCCACATGTCATGACATGTGATACTGGATTTTATCCCTCAAGGAATGCTCCAACATATACGCCAAAGGAATACGCACAAATCTGAAGCTCCACTGATCACAGTAGAATTCATAAGACACATATCAGTATGATAAGATAAAGAAACAATGTACTTACCAGGTTTGGTTTGTGACACCTCTGAGCTTGGTGATGTTCTAGGTTTGGAGGGAACACGCTGTGTTTCTTTTGGAACTGAAATAAAAAAAAAAAATGCAACTATTAAAATCTTTCAAGAACTGAGACTGACAGAAGGCATAATATTAAAAAAGAACACATGCCTTTGGGACCTTCTGGAAACATGAAAAGCTTGTATGATTAATGGAGAAGTATGAATGTCTGGTACACAAAGAAATAGTGCTGATGGAGAACCTCTGTAACAGGATAACATAAAGCAAGGCCAGTACGGATGGACTAGTATAAAAGATGAAGCAGCACATGACAGAAACTGAGTATAAAGACACGTAGTCAAAGGCAGACTGTGGTGCTTCCATCCACTTTACAGAACACGTTTGTGTGAGAAAAACCAAACAAGATGATTATGAACTGTTAGTGTAAATCACAAAAAAATAAACACCTTACAGAAGGACTAAATTTAACAGGAAAAAAATTATGACAGTGGAGTACAATGAAGATGTACTTGTGATGCTTGGTGTATACTGAGAAAGAAAGCTAAATGTGATGGTCCTTGTAGGTAAAACTGTTACCTATTGTTGGTTTTAGTTGATCAGTTCTAAGTGTTATAGATTCCAGGACTGTATCAGAAACAAAACATAAAAGCTATTATGAAAATTGAAGAGAATAATTCCACTTACAATTAGTATTTCTTGCCTAGTAACTGCATTTTGCATTATATACTATGTATACTGCCTCATACAAAAACCTTTATATTACATGAAGTCTCTGAGAAAGCAGTGTAAGCTGAAATATAATGTGAGCTTAGTTCTTCCCATGGTCTTCAGTAAGATATCCAAATACGTATCACTCCCTTAGTCAGAAAATGGCTTTTTAGGGACACAAATCTCTTCCCTTTGTGGCATATTTCAAATGCAGTTTATATATACGATTGGAGTCAGAGACCACTTGTTTGTTTTCTGGATGCTATATTATTAAAGAGCATTATGGTGTATTACATTGCATGATCACATACTTCAGCTCTAAATTGGTACGGATCTAAAATAAAACTGGCTGTTTAAGGGACATAAGGATGTGAAATTGATGCTATTTTCTTGCATTTCCCACATTAGAAACAGAGGGACAATAGAAATGGTATCCCCCTCTGCGTCAATTCTTCTGTATGGGCGACAATGAAAAAAAAATTTCTTTGGATCTTCTAGGACAATCAAAAGATAAGTGGATGATGCTGTAAAAAAAGCTGGGTATATTATAGATTCCTGAAGAAACAGTAACTTTTTTAAAAAAAAAACAAACACAGAACAGTACAAACCTGTAACATTTGTGTGACAAAACCGTTTTTTGAGAAAGCCAGACTACCATAATAATGAAAAATGGCCACAGAGGTAAAAACTGAGTTTATGAGAAGCTACATTTTAAGTTGTAGTTTGGAAACAATGTTTTACCATCAGCTGCCATGGCTAAAAAATTATGAGAGAACAAGGATTTTGACTGTTTTCTACATGAAGAAATCATACTTAATAGATAACATCAGCCTTCAAAAATATTGCTCCATGTCTACAATTTAAAGATCTTCAGTAAAGTGATTATCATGAAATTTTTCACATTTACCAAAAGATAACCTATGTTGATATTTGATACCCTTGTAATTTTCTGTTGATACTACCAACTAGATAGCAGAGGACAGAAAGTAATTTTTTCTGCCTACCCCTGACTACCTACTCACATTTAATGACATAGTACAAAAATCCAGTATTTTGGAATATGGCATAAATGATCATTAATGCTAATAAATGTCAATATTTATAAACATAGTAACTATGCACTGGGTTATTTACTCGTTCATGCAGAAAATAATAATGCCATGAAATTAAGTAATTGTGACTTAAAAGGGAAACATATTTATTCTAACAACGCAAAGCAATGTGGGAAAGAATTGTACCACCTAAGTAGCCATAATACTTACTTTAATTACTAGGTATTTGCTTTAGTTACCACTGTAATCAGAATGTAACAACAATATTCTCATCCTGCTGCCATGAAGTAGCAGAGACTTATTCTTTTGCATGATGAAAAACACCTAGCGAATGTTACTACTCCTGAAATCTGCAAATAAACCACTGAACAGAGAGCAGAGCAGAACCCCATTATGTTTTGACTGGCTCAGATAATTAACCAGCTGCTCAGAAATACATTTCAATCCAATATAAACTGTATTAGAAATAATCACACAAAGCAGTTTACCATCTTTGGCCTGTGGGATATGAGGTTTGGGTGAAGTTTTAGGTTTAGAAGGAATACGTTGAGTCTCCTTTGGAGCTGGAAGAGAAAATGTGGGTAATAAGTTGGTTAAATTGCACAGCAATTAGTGTCTGATATCAAGCTGAACACACAAACACAGACACCTCACACCTGCAACAGAGAAAAAAAGTCTCTTTATAGGAAGCAGGAAAGAAAGTCAGGTAATACTCTCCATGTATTTACAACAATCTAAGCAAAAGAGTGGAATTTTAGCCATTTTTGAAGCTCACGTTTTATTTTTTTTAAACAAAAAGCTGGGACAAGCACAGGCAAGCATAATTATGAGAAAGGTGATTCAGAGCTGCCAGAATCGTTGTTTTTAAAAAAAGGAGACGTTCCAACTATGAAGAGAGCAATATGCCCAACTGTCACGAATGCCAAGCAAGAGAATTACCTAGAAGAGAAATGAAGTTTAATGAAATGATCCTAAGGCATAAGGTGATTAACTTCAGTGATGCTTTTTCTGTATGAAAAAAGCAAACACAACAGCTGGCCAAGGAAATATCATTACCTATCGTTGACCTTGGTGGTTCAATTCTAAGTGTAAAAGGTTCCAAGACTGCAACAGAAACAGTGTGACAGGGTAAGTATGGAATGTACTCCAAAAAACTTAAATTACTCCACTGGTAAGTATAAAAGCAGGTGCTAGTACTACACCACAGTAACACGGATCTCCAAATTAACTTTTACTTTTTAAAAATATGGACAATTAAACTTCCTAATAATACAGGTTCAATAAGAAAAATATAATTGTACAAACTTGATGGCAATGGAAGCAAAAATATGTTAATAGAAATCAATAAATCCTAGAATAAGCAAGGGAAGAGATCACACAGCTTAACAAGGATACAGCAAGGGACTCTTGATATACAAAAATGCCAGGTATCCCCAAACTGAAGTCTGTTACTACCTGAAAGTAGCATGCTGACCATGACAAAACAGTTGAATTTTTCCTCTAAGGTGAGCAGTCAAGCAGAGGACTAAAAGGCTGCTATTGGTACAGCTATATAATTATCTGAAAAAAACTTATTTTGATAAAGCCTCTTAGTTTTTTCCTCATTATATCCTCTTATAATTCGGATCACAAAACCAATACATCATGTCCTTTTCCTCCTCACAAAATATGCCAAGTTGGGGAAAAAAACAAGGGAAAAAAAAAAATCACAATCCTAAATTACGAAATGGCAGAATCTATAAAAATTTCCTGGCAGTAAGGAAAATATACTAAAATAATATTAATTGATAAAGTCTCCCCTCTCAAAGCAGTAATAACTAAAGTAACATATAACATACACGTACCTACAGATAGAACCTTTTCTATAACATATACTTACTTATCTCTCAAACTGTCTTACACATCTACCTCTTTTAAAAATGGGATTTACAGTAAATAAAACTATAAAACTTTGTTTGCAGTTGATGCTGTTGATACTATAGTATTTCTTACACTTCTATTAACAATCACAGTATAATATAGCCTAGTATTAATACTGCTGCAAATGAGAAAAAAAGCCAAAACAACCAGCATGAACTTCTTTCCATCGACAATGGCCAGATACTGTACAGAAAACTAGAACTAGTTATTGAACTTTCTAATGTGCTCACTACATATCCCTGGTTTGCAATGACATTGCCATTATTCAAGCTCATCAATTACCTTCAGAATTCAAATTCAAAATCTTTTTCTATAAAACACTCATTTCTATTTTCAGGTTGCCTATGAAAAAATCAGTGAGTTCTTAAAAAGAAAAAAATCTTCAGATATTCAGAAAAAAAAAAATTAAATTCTTTGTTAGGTCTGCAAATTGCTTTCTGAAGGAATTTGGTTTCTCTTTGTATAAATATTATCCCAATATAATGAATGACTTCCTTCTCCCCTCCTCCAGGAAAAAAAAGTTGGAAAGTTTTTCACTTTTTTACCTTCTGCACTAATAGCAGGCTTCAAAGCACACAATTTCAAAAGAAGTGCCCTATCAGATTTAGCTAGAGGTGTTTCGGTCTTAGCAAATGGTTTGGGCTTCAAACGCGTTGACTGCGATTTCGGATACCAGAAAAACCTTGGTTTGTAAAAACCAGTACTTAAGCTGAAAGTAAATGGTGTCCTATAGAAGAATCAAATTCAGCAACAAAGAAATGAAGTCTAGGAAATGACTTTTGGTTCATATCAGTGAATAAAAACAGAAAAAAATGGTGCTATGGGTTTAAGGCATGAAATAGTACCGCATATGGGCAAACCAAGCAGACAGAGCCTTTGAAGAAAAGGATAATCAGAGAGTTGGATGTTCTTTTGCAGCAAAATTAGCTTCTAAGAGTTTAGCCAAAAGCCAAAGAAAAGAGCACTAAGAAACGATGCTAAGAAAACACTGTTATCCAACGTTGACCTTGGCAAATCAAGGTCATTAGAAGAGTTTTGAGAGTACTTTATGAAGTAGAACTTATTGCAGTTGGAAACAGTGAATCTAAGTGATGTTGCTAATTAATCAAAATAACTCGATTCTATTTAATCAAATCATTTATGCACAGACTTAGAGCCATTCTCAATCCACAGTATTATATATGTAGTTGGCTTCATCTGGGTTTTAAAGCACAAAGCTGTACCTCTGAAAACATCTTGAAGTGCTTCTCAGAATACAATCTGCACAGTAAATGCAAACAGTGACTCAAATCTTCCTTTGAATTAGATATAACATTTCAAGGCTCACTGAAAAGGACATCTTTGTTCTTAGTCTACATTAAAAACATATTTATTAAACACATCACTAAATATATATTCCCATACCAAAAAAGGTAATTATCATGTGTTACTTTTATATAAACTTTCCTCCTCACTAAAACTGGAATTACTTTGTTTTTCTGAATTGAACACAATTTTCCACAGACTAATTGAAAAGATGCAATATTTTCCATAAATTTGAGAAATTATCAAGCAATGATTGGTTTTGTGCAACAAAGAATTCCCCCTTCTGCAGAAATTGTTCGGCAGTTTGTAGTTTTAAAGCTGATTTTTAGATTAAGTACATTATTTTTATATTTCTTGAAATCTTTATTATTGCAATAATTCTTATTCTTTCTTTTTCTAATGTAATTGAAGCTTCTAATCAGATACCTTTGAAGTGATATCCTGTCTTTTAGAAGACAATATCTCCACCCTCGAAGCACGAAGAAATAATAAAGCACCAAGACTATATTTCCATTTGTTAGGTTTGGACCACACATGGACAAGCAAGAAGCCTACAGGAAACGGTGTTTTCAGCTGCACATATTATCAGACCAATAAAAGGAAGAATGACTGAAGATGACTCATAATCATTACCCTCTGCAGTCTTTGGACGTTCATATGTGTGGGGACTCCTAGTAGTGACTGACACCGGAACGGTTGCTGCTGGAATAAAGAGAATTTTCTTGAGAGAAACACAGGTGCATCTGTAGCTATTTCTCAACTTCTGGTATGGCTCAGCTTATCCAAACCTTCAAAATTTACTTCACTCATTTACTCTGCTTTGACTCTTCTCAGCCTATGTTTTACTACCTGTACCTCCTGGTGCGTGCTCTCTCTCTTTCATAACACAGATTTTAATTAGGAAAGAAAAAATGATTGATGAATATTGTATAATGTACCTCAAACTTTATTTTTGGACATACTGACAAATTGTCATGTTGAAGTTCACAAACGTTTTAAGACTCACAAGTACACTCATCTTGAGGAATCTATCTTAAAACTTTTAAATACAATAAAATCTGAGACCTAAAACTTCCAAAACTCTGTCAGTTTAGATATAAAATTACTTTATTAATTTAAAAGTCTCTGTTTCCTTGCATGAAGGTTTATGATGAGGGGATTATATTTCGGGGGACTGTTTTTAAGTGTAAAAGACTGCATAAAGAAAAGTGGAAAAAAATTCTGACAGCAATTATGAAGTTTTCCTATGTTCTCTGGGAATCAGATCTCTAAAGTAACGTTCACTGGCTAGGTAAATCTCTCCTCAAGACAATCCCCTTTAAAGCCACATCACTGAAAATGATAATGCATGAAGTGGCTCACGTGAAGTGACAGCACTGGGGTTTTCTTAAAGAAAAAAAAATCCAACCCAGCCAGTGCAATCAGTTCTTGCTCCCAACCACAGGGCTCTGGTACTAGTTGGGGTCAAAAGGTGAAGAGTGAGAATACACAGAAGCAGCTATAGAAAAATCATTCACTAGTAGGATCTCTTTGTTCTTTGCCAAGTTCTCTGAACTGCCACACGTGGCAGTACTGCTCTGTCATGACAAAGATCAGTAGGGCATTCTTACCTATTTAACAACTGGAGACTACTTTTCTACACCTGGCAGCACTGAGTACTGCATAATGTTATCTGTGCCTCAGCACTACACTTTGCTCTATATCCAAGCAGGGAAATCCAATAAGAAGCATACTAACCTACAAGTTAGGTACTTTACACATTCTTCCAGAACTAACCTAGGGCCATATATTCATTGTACCATGTTTTTCTGATGACTATTAAATCACTCAAGATTTTTCTTTTTCATTTCTTTGTTTTTTCAAACATAAAAATCAACAATGCCATCCTCCTCCCAATCCTAAATAGATTCTGAAAGTCTCTGGTAATGATTTATTCTCAGCCCATTTTAAAAAAGTTCATTAATAGATACATAATTCACATTTCATGTAGACCTTTCTAGATAAAAAGAAAAGGTTGAGCTGGGAAATGGATTTCTCAGAACGATGATGAGAGGAGAATAAGATTGGGAAGAAATAACATTCATTTCCTCTGACTTTCTGAAAGCACAGCATCTAAATGAAACTCCCAGACAATATAAGAGGACTTTGATGTAAAAGTTACTCTTGACATTACTGAGCAATTTATGGGGTTGTAAGCACTGAGCAGCCAGCTAAGCTGAGACTTTGAAGGACAGAAACTAGAGGCACAAGCGACTGCAAATTTATAATGCATCTACAGGGACTCAACAGGGGTTCATTATAAAGAGCTATTGCACTTTTCTGGAAAGAAAATGCTGCA